GGGTTGTGCAAGACAACCCATAGGCCTCCATGGGGACAGTATTCCTGTGGCTGTCCTATGGAGGCTGCAATTGCAGTTTAGTCCTTAATCGGATGGCGATATATATATATATATATATATATATATATATATATATATCCTTGGCAGTATATATTGCGCTCCTTACACATGTGAATACGGTATCTGTCTGGAGCACCGCAACGTCGGTCGGTTGCTGGACACCCATTGTTTTGGGGTAGGAACTCGGGTACGTGGAACAACCGTTCGAATGTGATAGTTCGCTGACGAATGCGCATTGATGTATACGGTGAGGATCAGTTGCAGCTTACGACGACTGCTGTCTTCCCGACGGCGGTTATGTTCGGATTCACCAACTCAGGCAAAACTGTCCGTTGTTTTCAGCCATCAAAACGAACAGAGTCCGTTTGCTGTCCATAAATCATGAAAACTGACGACGTTCTAGAGACCACCTCAATATTTTTCTACCTAGGGCTGGTTTGTCGAACAACCTCTTCGTGGTGCCAGCTGGGTGGTTGGGGATTTTTCAGTTCTAGCAAATTGTTCGGCGGCAGTGTTCCAAGACATGGCACGTTTTCGTCTGACAAGCGTTCTCCCTATAAAAAGCCACATATGTCCGTTTAACAACACTGTGACGTGGCGGACGTGACTCGCCACTAAATAAGGTCCCTGCCCTTGCTTCATCCTAACGAAGCATTGTATTCCAGAAAGGTTATGTTGTAATTCTGGGGAGCATTTGGTCCCTGTTTGACAAAGGAACAAACGAAAGGCGTATGGACTGAGCAATCAGTCACCGGCTCCCAATGGGCGCGATTCCCTGAATTCGCTCCGCTGCCTTGCGTGCAGGGTAATCAGCCAAAGACTCGGGGTAGTGTTGCGTAAGTCAACACCCTACTTCGGCTTGAGCAACCGGGTAGTATCGCGCCCTCTGACGAAACCATGCACATTGTTGTGTTGTGTTATATTTCCCTTTACTATTTCTGTACCTTCTTTTGGAGCCCATGGTTTCTGGTGGCTTCTATCTATTCGTAGACCTTTGCAAATATATATATATATATATATATATATATATATATATGTACTTAGTGTTTAGGCTTTCGACAAACGTACAGATGAGCAATGAGCTGCAGACGCAATAGTCGAAAGATTCTGCGGCTTTCGCCAAGTGGAAACACCTGGTTCGAGGGAATCACAAGTTGATTTGGAACGAAGCTGATTTTATACACTTCGATAGGACGATATGTTATCCTCTGCGGTAGCAAAAGATGCACGTCATACAGAAAAGACTTCGGTACCAGAAACTAGCTTGTCAGCAATAACCACGCCGAATCGTGAGCATCCGTTGGTGTGACAGAGATGTTGGCACGAAAGTGCTCCAACGGATCGGCCTGCACGGAATTGATTACACTCGCTTACTACGATACATAGGGTGGCTCGGAAATGTCCGCCGTATATATTCGACCAGGAGATCGAAACGTCTAATTTATGACCAACTGTGAACAGAGAAACCAAATGTAAGCAAACCGCAGCTGCAACACCAGGACAGTATGAATTTAGGTTTATCACAAATTAATGTTGAAATTAAGTGTTTGGAAGGAAAGTCACTGGATCGCTGTCAGTGACTCGATCACATCAAGAATGCCGTTGATCAGACACACGAGAAAGTACCGTTGCATCAGGAAGAAAAACGCGGCTTGAGCAAGCAACAGACGCTGATGGCGTCTATTGCGTAAACATCATATACATGGTGCTGCAGCACTTACGGTCGTGTGTGTCCCAGCCGAACCTGTTTGGTCAGTTATCTACGCAGTCACAGGGACCGATAGTCAAGAGGCAACGCCTTGTTTTAATGACGAAGTTTCAGCGCATGGTATATACGCTGTTTCCGATACCATTTATTAAAGAATACCAATAACGCGGTAGCTGAGGTACGTGTGCTGCATCAACACTGCTGCAAGGCTGTACAAGTGCCTGCGTGTTTCTTCTCTCGCATTTAGGTGTTTTCTTATTGATATTCCCGGTGCGGATGCGCTCGATGTGAAACATGACAAGGTGCCTTCTCGTCAAAAACTGCCACCTCAATTACTGGCTCCAGGAGAGTGTTACTCGATGATGGGGGAGTCGGGATACATTGTCTTCATGACAGTGCTAGGCTAAAAGAGTGGATCCATCCAGAGTGGAACGGGCTACGGCCCAGTCACCGCCTTGTACACACGTGGTACGCATGATTCCCTATTTGGATAGATAGAAACGCTGTTGTTGTGCTTGTTAAACGATTGTGGTCCGGTCCCGTTTTATGAAACGTGGCTCCTCTCTGCATGCCACCCGGTCTTACTGTTTGGGTTTGCTCTGGACATGAGATGTGCGGATGGAGCTGTGCGTGCTGCAGCACAGATCTCCTTCGATTCGGTTGATCATTGTGCCTATTGGCACTGTCTGCTGAGGAAAGGTGTACCTGATAAATACGTAATCATTATCAGAGCGTTGTAGGCGCATAGTTCCTGCAGAACGAGGGTTTATGGCAAACTGTCCCCGCTCATCAGTATCACCAACGGTGTGAGACAAGGTTGCCCGCTGTCACCTTTCCTCTTTAACTTCGCTATTGATGTAGTCATGGAAGCAGCGTTCTCTGTACACGACCTAGATGGTGTTGAACTACTTCTGGTGAGGGACTTCTTGCCTCGGAGTATGTGGATGATACTGCCCTAGTCTGACAGCTCCCAACGTGCCAAGCAGCACTGGGCCGATTAGCACTGGGTCTCAATCGTTTTGGGCTATACTTTGCTCCATCGAAAAGTAAAGTCCTTCTCCAAGATTGGCGCTGACTTTTGCGGAGGATCAGCTTGAAGTCGTTCAGGAATCCGAACATCTGGGCAGCTATAGTAACGTCCTTGGGCTGGAAGATGAGGTTACCAACCGTGTAGCAGAAGTTCCAAGTGCTTTTGCCAATCTTCGTCACCTGTGGCGCAGACGCGAGATCACTCTCACCCTGAAGAGCCGGGTTTTACTACAGCTGTCCGTTCAACCCTCTTATAGGGTTGTGAAACCTGTCCCATTAGGTCGGCAGACATAAAGAGACTAGTTATGCCCAAACATCTCTGCCTTTGCAGCATAGCTCACATTTGGTGGGAACACCGCGTCAGCAATGGGCGTGTTCGGCGTCGCGTATTTGGTGTAAGAGCGAGTGAACTGCTCAATACTGTTGTATCACGCGCCAGGCTCCGATGGCTGGGCCACGTGTTGCGCGTGCCAACACACCGACTCCCGCGAGGTGCATTGTTTGCGCACTGGGAGTGCGGTTGGAAGAGGAGGCCAAGCGATGAGTTGGTCGAGAGAAATAAAAACCCTCACTTCGAAGCTGGCGTCGGTTGGTGCATCCCAACTGCTTGGCTGGAGTTCTAAGGACGATGAACATGTTTGAAGGGACACACTTGCTGATATGACGAAGAGCAGGCCTAATGGAATTTGTGTTGTAAGTATCTTTGTCCATCCCCATCCCTTGAGCTTCCCTCTCCATTTCCGATCTCCTGGGAAATGCACAGTATAAGAGTTAACTATATAATTAATTAACTTGAAAATTCCCCATTTAAGTCGCGAGAACGAAATACCATCTGTTGAGCAATTGTTTTCAATGATTCATTATCAGAACATTACAATCATATGGAGGCTAAAAGTAAACATCAACCCAGTTAGTTCAAAACGAATAGATCATGTGAAGGTCTATGTCAGAGATGAGAAAACGAATTAGGTCTTAGTGGGTTAGTTGTTTGCTACCGCGTCTGACCGAAGGCAGTTGAACGTTTTGTAGTGCAATTGTTTAGTATCTTGTGCTTTTGTATTGCGGCACATTAACTGTGGTGTGTTTCTCATCCACAGCTGACGTGTATTGATTATGATAATGACGATGATGATGAATTTGATGAGGATGAGGATGTTCTATCAGTAGACCAAGGCGTCCTATGGCTGTTAGCAGTCCCAGTGACAAGGAAATCAGCAAATGGTTTCCGCATAAAAGTCTACATACTATACAATTCCGACAACGTCACGCAAAAGAAAGCTAAGATATTTGCCACATTCGTTTTAACAGTAATTTAGCACTGGTTGCCGCTGAAGAATCTTTACCGGAGGGTATGAATTTGAGTGTCCGTTTTCCACTTAAACCCTGCAACATGCACTGCCTCCAATCAACCAAGAATACGCCGAGTATTCGGTACTGAATCCACTCGACTCAAGTATAATTTGCTCAAGGCGATCACTCAAATGATCCTAACATTCCTTACTTTAGCTAACTGTCTGAACACCAGCATCGACCTGACAGCATGCTACCGACTGCAGGCATAAATGAAAGGCCCTTTCCGATCCGGCCTGTATCCGTCAAGCTGGGTTGTAGTTAACAAATGGCAGTCACCACCTGACATTTATACGTGTAATCAAGGCATGAACTAAGATTCTCTAAGGCAGGTGGATGCTTGCTTTATGATCAAAGAGAATCAGCTCGTTATTGATTGTCGAGTTTTGGAACACCCGCTATGTGTCGTAGATTGCGGCACGCAATATCCATTGTGGCTTCGGTTTAGTATGGAGTTAACCTGTGCCATTCCGATCGCTGGAACCTTATCCACGAAGCAGTTCCTGTATTCTTGCACCATGTGCGTTTCCGTTTTATACAGGCGAGAGCAAAGCAGGTAGGACAAAATCACTTAGCTGGTACCAGTTAGGTTTACACGCGTACTTCTTTTAATCAATATGTAGACATGTTCACTTCGCTTATTCGTTCCAGCCACCATGAAAAATCAGAGGTTGTGTTTAATAACAACACTTCTTCAATGAACCCTGCGGTAGAAGAAGGAATTCCATGTCCTACTTTTGATAAATATCGGATAAAGTAAACTTGTGTTTACGGTACACCGACGAGTAGTCTGGTGCCCAAGAAGAAAAAAAATGAGAGGAAGTACTCATTGGTAAATGCTGTGTTAACTTACCTTTCGGTGAGAGGCCCTTTCATCGCTTCGGTGCTCTGAAAGGATATGAAACGCGAACGATTGCAGTACAAAAATATCCTCAGGTAGTCAGGGAATTTTATTTAACAAGGTCAGTTAACCAGGAAAGGTGTTTACTTTGCTTAATTTGCCATTGCCGAGGTCAAGTCAAAGATGTCCTTAGACAGCATAATAATCATGTGCGCAGAGTAAGTCTGTGGGCCGTATTCATCGCGACCTAGTTGTACAAAATGCCAGCTATCGTCTCGCCAGTGACTGGTGATTTGTTATAGATGGTCTCGGGGTAAGTTCGCGTGATCAGATTGGTCTGTCGCAATAGTAGCTAGACAGCGGATCTTAACCTGAATCTTTCGCAGGCTGATGGCATTCTTGTTTTAATCTGTTCAAGCAGTTGCGTAGAGAAATCCGTCTTCGTAGAATAGAATGCCGTTGTTAGGAAGTAAAGGAAATTTGTACTCACTAGCGCAACTAGGGTGTAGTGGGAGCTACCAGATAGCCTTTTTAAGTCAACTTTGATACCATTTAGCAGAGATCATGTCGACCAGAAGAAAAACCGAATATGGGCAACGGATAACGCCGAAAGTTTTCCAATTCCAAGGCGGAACCGCTAGTTATCACAGTCGGGACTAGACTTCAAAGAAACATGTGCTCCAAATTACGATCTTCAGTCATAATCCAAATGTACTGTGGGCACTCCGAGACCCAACTATACATTCCTAACTACTCGCTAAGGGATGCTTGCGGACTTCAATGGCCGAGAGATAACAATGTCCACCATTACTTACATTGTTTCACTCCTTGTTGCCGATATATCTGCTTGAGTAGTTCAAAAACGCGAAACCGATATTGGGCTACAGTATCGAGGATGTGTAGTCAACAAAGGGTTGGTTTGTCCGCATTGACTACACCATGTCAGGGTATTAATGGGACTAGTATATTTATATGCAGCAGTAAACATGGTATGGTGTCATTCCAGCTGTCTCTGGGCTGTGTGGTACCCAGATAATATTACTCTTAAAATGGACTTCATGGATTTACCACAGTCGAACGATGTGAACCAACCTGTGGATCCGGTAAGAGATTCAGTGCACGAGTCTGTGGATGTCAGCACCTGCTGCAAATGAACTGAATGTTATTCCAGAATAGTTATTAAGCATTTCCCTACTATCGGAATGCTTAACAGGATTGAATTTAGGAGTCTGTAAGGTTCACCAAAAGGCGTCCATGCGTAGACAAGATAGGAGCGTGGCTGGGTAGTAAACAATGAGAAAGTCGATCGCAGGGTGTGTAACACGGACTGCGAAAAGCTGGGGCTTTCTGCATGCTAGTTCGCGGTCGTTCATTTTAGGTACCCAAGTACCAGCTACCATGGGGCTTATCCGTTGCTGTAACGCCTTAGCGAAATGGATTGTCACCTTGTTACTGTCGTAATATGTATTCTAGAGTGGAAAACGCTGACAACTTGATCTTGGGTGAACTAAATGTACATCGTTTAAAAGTCACTGCCACGATCGGAGAACAATTCAATGGTGATCTGCGGGAGCTGAGAACTAGCGTTATGCTTTACAATCCTGCCCTTTTGCGTACTCGGTTTAGATGAGTTGGATGTTGTGCTTATCAAAGAGGAACATATGATTGATGTATCCGTTGTAGACCGTCCTTTTGGTCACGGTGATAATGTAGGCATCAGTTTCAACCGCCTGCTATGTAGAATATCATAATGTGAACCATGAGACGGTGCAAAGCACCAAACGCTATGACTGCTTAACACAGCTTGTCAGTGCCACAACCTGGTCGTTTCTCGCCGAAGACCCTCCGGAAGTCGGCTGGCTCGACACTAGCAACAAATTCAGTCGGCTGATTAATCATGGTTCAGAGACAATGCTATACAACGGATCCAAAACCATTTCTTTCATAAGCAACCGAACTCGAATATTGATGGCGCGAGGCGACATGGCGAGCGTACTGATTTGCTCCAATGCCATTAACTTTGGATAGTTACATAACCCAACTCAACCACTACACTCAACTGTTTCGAAAAGGCAAAGCCGCTCCTCAGCAGAATTTAGCAAAAATCTTCAGCGCTAACCACAAACTGTTGTACAAGCACGTCAATGAGGCAGGTATTTCCTCCTCTTCGGACGCGCTGCAAGTGCCATATGCCCCTACCTTTAGAGGGTCTTACCATCTGCTAGGCTTTGTTTCTCCGCCGCCAGGACTCATCCACATCTCTTATACCGCTGAAGCTGCCCTGCAAATGTTTACGTCTACGCAACCACAGCTCCCGAAGTGTCTATAGCATTTGTGAGGCAGCACTGGGAGTAGCAGCGCGACAATTAATGGAACATTTATCTAAGTACTCCCAGGGTTGCTTAGACCAGAACCAGGTTCTTGCTGTGTGGAAGCTTGGGATAATACCCGATTCATAAAGGCTGAAGAAAGGCTGAGCTTTCAGACTACTGTCCAGTATCTCTTCACACTACGCAGTTCAGGGTCATGGAATCCATCATTGTCAATGCGCTGGTACGCTATATAGAGAAGCGCAACATTATTAATCCCACGCAGCACGTCTGCCATTGACAACGATCGTGCACAATGCAGTTACTAATTTCCCAGATGTCGGACCGAGTCAGCTGACGTTGGCGAGAACGCCATCATTATCTACCCGGATTTTTCGAAGGAATCTATTGCGTGGATCAGCCATTCTCAACGGAATCCATATTATCCCTTGGGGGCCATAGAGAATTCCCGGGGGACCCTAATATAGGAAAACTTTTGGAGAGGACGTGGGGGGCGATACCGTGAAAAGTGGGTTGTGATAACATAAATAACAAAGTTCTTTTCAAAACATTTTTCCGATACTTTCCCCGCACTAATCTCCCCTGGGAACTACCGGTCAGCGAAATGTATTACACGCGCAAGGGGCTGTTTTCGAATGTGCGAAAGCCAGACCTGGTTGACTTACATTTTCGAAGCTGGCATTGCTCTGCCAAACTTGCGGAGTTCGCCGGTCTCAGGTCAAGCATACAATCACTACGCGAGGACTTAGAATGCCTAACCGATTCGTTCTCAGGACTTTGATACCTAAACACAGTGAACCAACTGAGCCTTGCTCAGGACACTGATGCATCTAATGTTCAAGCCGCAGTGAACCTAGCGAATTCCCGTTAGGACACTGCGGCGGTTACCGCACAAAGCCACGCTGACACTGTTTTCCTCAAATCATTACCACCGTGTGACAACTCATGTGCCGGTCAGTCTTTCTCCTTCGGGTCTCAGTGCGCAAGGTTACCGATTTTTCGTCTCCAGTCTCAGCTGTCGTGTATGTCTGGCGGCCAGACCACGTTAGACCACAGCGTTCCCTATGGGAGTGGATATGCTGTGCGCGTGGGGTACTATAATTAAATAATGTTTGTTCGTTCCGACAAGTTATTAAGCGTTCCTAACATTCAGTTAAGCTAAAGTTTTCAACTTAGCGAGCAGTTCGGTTAACTTACGTCATTCATGTGGACATCTGGTTCCGGTGGTGAGTTTATATAACATAAAACATACATAAGGATAATCCTCATAACATTAATAATAATCAAATGCCTTGCTAACACGATGTTTGGCAATAGCCGATGTACGTCATTGGTTTCGTTGTTTATTCTTCCATGCCGGTTTCCTGATTTGTTCAGCATTTTCTTTCCTGCTTATCTTTTCTGTCCTTTATTTTACTCTTGTTACTGTGTTCTTCAACTTTAATACATGTGTGTCCAGCGAGCATTTTCCTTTTCTGAGTACCATTTGTTTTCTTCATTGCCTTATGTCAGAAAGATTTCTGTAGTCATTTTGACTATCCACCGTATTTTCAAAGTCATCCTCAAAAACCACCTTTGAGTTACCTATAACAGAGTTTCTACACTTTTACAATTTGACATTATAGCTCCAAACAGATGTTACAAGAATGCTTATCAAGTGTCTTATAATCTCACGCGCACGCACGAATAAATTTAGTGCACCAAATATTCACACTTCCTGTGGTATAGTTTGTCGAATAATGTTATTTAATACCTATGTTAAAACTGTATAGGCAGGAGCGCCTATGGTGCGCTGAGGCTGGTGCTGGCTAGATCCTGACAGATGGTCTGCCCACTGCTGCTACTAGTGTGCCATGGACTCATGTCCTGGACGCCTCTTCGTGGCGGCCGTTGGGTGAGAGTTGGTTTACGCTATTCTTCTAACTAAGAGCCAGGACACACCAATCCGCAGGATTCAGTGAATTGACCATGTGTTAAACCCGCTGCCTTTCGGGTGTACATTTAATCGAAGGCTTTGGCTGAGGAACCGAGTTGTTTTCCTGTCAGGTGTGAGCATACTGCCAGTATCCTAGTCCACTGGTTATAAGCTCAAAGCTCGATTGACGTAGAGAACGAGTGCCACGCAATATCTCTGACGGTGTGAGGGCACGTCCGGGTGCTCAATGGTTTTCTACTGCTCGCAGCAAGCCAGGCAGCCCCTGGTCAAATTGGTGCAAACCCCTCAAAACGCACCTACGTCTGGCCGTGGTTACAAATGTGTACCCTACTACAGTCGCAAAACACTTATCAATTGTAGTTTTAAGTTATTCATCCCAGTAGTTCCAGATCTTCATAGGCTGTGTGTGACGGACCTCAAGGCAATCCCATTGGGTCTCTGCAATCACACTCCCGTGCGGGATCTGCTTCCAACTGCCTTGTGGGTAAAGCTATTGTGCCAAAGGCTTTGGGCGGAGTCCCTCAAGCAAACCTCCGAGGCACAACCGCAACCACGCGCATGATTGCCCATCAATGCAATTTTATGCCTGCTCGCAAAAGCACAACAACATGTGCTGGAACGTGAGCGTCCCGCGTGACGCACTGCACCGATCGCGATGGAACTGACGCGCTACCACATCCATATTGCAGCTCTCAGCGAGACCCGGCTCGCTGAGCAACGTAAGTTGCATGAAGCTGGTACTGACTATATGTTCTATTTTGTGGGCAACGCAAACTCAGCA